TCCTTGAGGAAGCTGTTAGGTCCTTCTCCCTGCTTCTTCCTGAAAGGTGTGAAAAAAAAAAAAGCAAGACAGGCCAATGTTCACCTAATTTTTCAGCAGCTCAGTTTTCATGGGCTCATTGCTCACTGAGTAGCATCCGCTCAGTGCTGCTTCAGCTTACAGCCATCAATCACAGCTAATATCAGCATATTTGAAAGATAGAATAATCCCACACAACAGTCATGCAGGAGCATGACTGGCTACAAAGCTAGCAGAAATCACATGGAGTCCTGGAGGCTATCAAGTTGAGTATAAGTCAGAAGTAGACTTTTTAATTACAGCTGTGAAGGCTAATTTCACACATTCATGGAAGTGGAGGAAGCAAGTCGAGAGGAATGATTAGTCTCTTCTTGGCACTTGTGAGGTGTCATCTGGAATAATGGGATCAGTTTTGGACTCCCTGTACAGAAAAGACTGACAGGAGACAGTCCAGCTGTGAACCACTAAGATAATTAGGGGGCTGTAGACATGGTACATGAGAAGAGAGGAAAGGCTGAGTTATTTCAGCCTAGAAAGAAGCAGCTTAGCTTTCTCTTGTGTCTAGGAGGGGAGCTAAATGTTGTCTTCAGATAATAGGTGGCTATAGAGAAGGTGAAGGCACCTCCTCTCTAAGAGGGGTGCATAGTGAAAGGATGGGTGAAATAGTTACAAAGTGAAGCAAGGGAAATTCTAATCAGATATATAAAGAAACAATCTTTCCAGTGAGGGTGGTAAAGAGTGGAACAGGTTTCCCAGAGAGCCAGTGGAATTTGCATTCTTGGAAATATTCAGAACTTGGCTGGACAGGGCCCTGAGCAGCTGGATTTAAATTTGAAGCCAGTAATGCGTTTATTAGCAGGTTGGACTGCAGACATCCAGACACTGCTTCCAACCTAAATTGTTCTCTGAGTCTATGAAGCTCAAGTAGTCTGCTACAGCATGAGTCTGCTACACCCTGTGTCAGAGAAACCCTCAGGGAGACTTAAACTTTATGATTTCTCTTAGGAATAAAGAGCTGTCTTACTGACCATCTTCAGGAGACAAGGAGCTGAAAGCACTGCAGAGAAAAGATATATTGAGATATTGGGTCTCATATGATCTTATATTGTGCAGACCCAGTGTCAGCATGAAGGGGACAACTTCAGCAGTTCTGCAACATTGATAGAGCTTGGTGTGGGGGAATTTCTCTTTTCCTTCATGGGATCTCTCTGCATGGATCCTTGCTAGTCAGACTCGGTGCAAAGGGCATAATTTGGCCTGTCTGGGAGAGCTTGGGAATTAAGTTAACTTGTATCTGCATTGAGTGGCTGAGGGCAGTATTACAGCTAACATGGGCAGGCATTCCTTAGAGCAGTTGAAAGCTATTACATTTCAGCACTGCCTTCACTAAAACCCTAGCAATCTCTCTTCTCCTTCCTACCCTGCCCTCAGTGGGAATATCTGATTCTAACCTTTTCACTCAAATTCCATGTAGCTCCTCTTTCTTGATGCTAGAAGACAGCCTTTCACACAATAGCAAAGATTTACAAAGTGGATACAGGCACCATTGTATCATGTGTTCCGTGGCAACTATTTAGCACCCTAAGTTTGCAAAAATCCAAATGATGTTTCTGTCCTTTATTAATGGTACTTTCCATCTGTTTACAAAGAGCATTCTGCTGCTTCTTTGTTACAGGCTGTACCCTGCCAGTGCAGCAAGCCCTACGGGAGGAGCTCACAATGGGATGCTTTGTAATTCACTTGAGAAGGGAAGAGCAGAGTCCCAGTGAAAGGCTGCAGGTGCACAGAGTCTAAGCCACTGTGGTGGATAGGGCTTTGAGCAACCTGGTTTAGTGGAAGGTGTCCCTGCCTATGGCAGGGACGTTGGAATTGGATGATCTTTGAGATCCTTTCCAACCCAAATCCTTCTATGAGGATCCTTCACATAAGCCCTATTCTGAATATATTGCTGCCTTCTCTGCAGTAATTTCAGTGGGGGTTGTGGGTTTGTATGGAACACAGCACAAGGCCCAGTGCTGCTCAGTGTATACTGCTCTACCTTAGGGTTTCTTTTCAATCTTTATCCCTGAATATGGGCTTGAACTTTGAATTGCCAGTTAGAATTGTTCCTAGTAGAAACTTTCTGTAGGAAATTCTATCCACATTTATTCCATTTTAGATAAAATAATATGGATACAGGAATTACAGCATTTGGAATTAAGGCTAAACTGAAAATATTATGTTTCTTTCAACAAGCTTATCAAAGCTGCTTTGGCATTTTCCATTTACAAAGGGCAATGATAAGTGTCAGCATACTTAGGAGCATCACAGGGCTGGACAGCCCTACTGCTTTTCTGCAGTCTCACAGAGCTTTTTTAGCAATTGGCTTACAGGCGATAAATGTTCAATGGCTAAGACAAGTGAGAGGAAGCACAGGAAGAGTCCTAATGAGACCCAGAACCACTGTTACCTCAGTAATGTGCTGGCATTCAGCTCAAACTGTTAGCAGGATGTAGATTTTCTGCTGAATTTATAATTCCAGCCTTAGGGATGCTATTTGCCATGTAAATCGGAATGGAAAGAAGCAGCTACAAGAGCTAGGGTAATATAAAGGTCTCTATTATTTACTGTGCTTTAGCAGGGATGTTGGACTAGGTGACCTTCAGTGGTCCCTCCAACCTCAACCATTCGGTGATTCTGTGATGTTACTGCAAATAAAGATGTGGGGAAAGTATGAGCAGTGTAGTTGTCAAAGCTGTGATCTTCATGGATCCATATGCAGGCATTCACCCCCCAAAGTGACAATGCTGTGGTACTGATGTTTCTCTTTCATGTGGCTAAGTGCTTTTGGAGCTCTATTGCAAGCTGTAGAGCCTCACAAAGAAATTAATAAAGAGGATTAATGTAGGGAAATTCCTGCAACTGGGCAGGAATTGGTTCTGATTGTTTAATTATGTCATTTGGTGGAATCCTGTCCATTCTGGGTCTCTAAAATTCCATGCCCATTTCCATGAGAAAAGAAAGATCCCCAAGATCCAGAACTTTCTGCCTCACATCCCTCTCCAGAGGAGAACAAGCAATAGCAGAGGTGAGAAGATGAGGTGTTGTTTCTCAAGGAAAGCAGAATTTCAGAAAGGAAGGCAAGATTAAGCTTTTCCTCACCAGTTAGTGAGACACATGGCACATTGTCTCCTGGAGTTACAGATTTGTGTCTGAAATCAAAGGTGTTCTTTCTACTTGGTCCATAGGTGTTCAGGAGTTTTTCTCACAGGAAGGGGAAACAGCCACATAGAGAGCTTAACACTCCTTCGTATGTCAGCACAGAAGGTGATCATACTTTGAATGCTGCTTTTCATTGTCGAGTGTAAAATTTCATGATATTTGGAGTCATAGCTTGCAGAACATTTAATAGCCACTGTACCTCAGGTACATTATATTTACTAAGCTACCTGATTATTAGGAATCTAGGATATATATCATGACATACCTATAAAAGAACAGGTTTAAAATCAGGTTAGTCATGTGTTTTACTATTATCAAAACTACATTAAAGGAGAAAGTTCCATCTCGTAATGATGCCAGCAAGGAGCTTATATCTTGCAGCACATACATCTTTACTTGTAGATCCATTATAAAGAAAGGGAAAGGACAGAAATATAAAATTAATTGCTTCTATAATTTGAAAGTGCTGTTCATAGGTACAGAATTTCGACCAGTTTTAAATTCAAGCACCCTCACAAAACCTGACACATTTCCACAAATATTTTCATACCATGCAGAGATATAAATTTTACATTTCAGGTTCTGCACCCCAGGACCTCAAACAAGTACTACAAGATGCAGTGTGTTTCCTACTCTAAAACCTGAATACCAGAAAGTTTTGTGACTTTTTCCTATTTTGACTTTGCACAAATCCCAGCAAGATCACGGTCTCTCAGCAAGACTTACTTTTACATGCAACACCTCTCCATCACCTCCACAATACCATACAGACTCAGCTAGCCCAGATGTTTCTGCACCACTCCATAGCACAGAAATGCCATGGAATGCCTAATAATGCTATGGTTAAACAGTGAGCAGTGCACTGCTTTTCTCAGTAAGGCTTTGTGCAGGCACAGACACTCACTGCAAAATCCAACCCTGGTCATTCATTTTTGCCTGCATCAGGAATTTTCCCAGAACATGAGAGCTGAAGTGGTATCAATAAATTGTGTGAAAAACCTGCACTTTTAAGATCCAAAAGGATTTTAAATGGTTTGCTTAATTTTGATTGAGCTAACCAAACAGAAGAAAAGAAGTTTCATATCATGCCAGCCTGGAAACATATGATCCATCTCTGACTAGCAAATCTTTTCTTTAATGAGGCAAATTTTGAAAGAAAATCAGAAACTTTTCACTAAGGAGGTATAGAAATAAAACATGATTTTTTACCCCTCTGCTTTTTCCCCTTTTTTTTTGTGCCAAAGCCATTTAGTCATATCTAGGCTAAAATCATACAGAACACCAGACTGAGGCTTTTGGCATGATCTTTAACTAAAAAGATTCACTTTTCTTTGACTATTGCTCCAGTTGTTTTACATATAAGCCACTAGGTATCTGTTCCTCCCCCTTCTGAGATTTAAAGTCCTTCTTTAATGTTAGATGTCTGATGTCCTCAAGAAAGAATTTTGGTTAGAAGCATGAAACTTCAATTAAGAGAATGGTTCTGTTTCTTAGGACTGCTGGTTAAAGGTACAGGGATGTAGAAAGCAGTTCATGCTTTCATCAATCACAGACCAGAAATGAAGGACACAACTTCCTGAATGCCCTGGACAGTTCTTACTATACAGTAACATTTCTATCTCAGCATTCGCTGGTAAGGAATTACTTTATCTGTTATACAAGTTGTGAAGTATATTGACCATACAGGGTCCACAATTCTTTTTACAGTTTAGTTTTTAACTGAGAAAAATACCAAGGGCTAATAATGACTTCAGCAGTAATAGCAGAAGACGTTCACTTACCCTATGATGATGCAGGAGATGGCAGTTCCCAAAAAGGCGTAGGTTAAAATTGATCCTAAGTTACGAAAAAAATGCCTCTGGGGAGGGAAGTTTGAAAAAAGTGCTTTGTAATATAGTCAATAAAAGAACATTCAGATGAGGCTGAAACACTGCATCTAGAAGTGACACTTGTTACAACCCCTATCTTAATCATAAGATGAAACAATATAGGCTACATCTTGTGTTTTGGAAATACAATTTAAGACGATTAATTTTTTGCCTGGTGGAATACCATCAAAGTTTTCTTTTTTATGTGTCTGGCCAAATGCTTCAGGATCATAACAGAAGTTCACATTGAAAATATCTGATGCAAATACTATCACAACCCATCCCTTGAACAAACAAAGCCCTGATGATGCATTATATAAAACACAGGTAGGCTGCTGCCTACATGCAGTGTCACCAGATTCAAAGTGGTTTCTTCTGAAAAGAGGAATGCTGAATTGTACAGTCAATTGTAAAGATGCAGAAACGGAGAAGAATGAGGTCTGGGCATCTTTCATTTTCTTCCATTCCTGTCAAGTTCTTCCCATGCAATGTAATTGTTAACTGACTCTTTTCTCTGTCATTGGCCTGGTAGATCTAGAAAGTAGCAGTCACATTCAGTCACTTTTGTAATAAAGAGACACATACCTTCTTTAAACTATATCCAGCATGAAATATAATGGGTGGCAGCAAAATATTGAAGAAGATGGAAGGATCAAATGTCATCTGCCAGAAAGGACGAAAGAGAGGGTAAGGACAAACAAAGTAGCATTTAATTTGATAGAATAGGTTTTAATTGTAACTTCTGATCAGGATGTGATGTGACTTGTTAAACTATAATTGTATAATCAGTTCTGCTGATTATACAGTCACGAAACCTGCCAGCACAGGTTTCTGTGTCCTAAAGTTTCTCAGTAAATCTGCTGACTGCTTCTGCAGCATCATTTCCATTGTAACACATCTTGTAAAATATAAGCCTTTTCTTCCAGGTTTTGATTTGAGGGTTTTGTGATGGCCTGAATTATTACCAGATCAACTATTTTACCAGTAACATCCTCAGGTACTTGCTGTTTTTTTCTATTTCGATGTGTGCTGATATTTTAAGTCATATTGTCAGGGAAATGAAACTGGAATTTGTTTCTGGTGACAGTTATCTATGTCTGTGTTACTGAAGATCCAATATATCAGTGTGTTATGAAACCCGAGAGGCACTGATGCTGTCCTATTGCCTACAAATCATGTATCTGTTGTGTAGGCAAATGGGGATTCCTTATATTCTCAATAAGCTAAGGACTAGTTTCAGCCATGCAAAGACTAATAGGATTTTCTGCAGACATTGCTAAGGTGCTACTTGCTTTCAGAACTGAAGGTATGCTACCAGGTTAGTCTCTTCATGGTTCCTGTTCCAAGCCACTGGCTGGCAAAGCAGCAGGTACCACTTCATCCTCTGTTACACAGCTTTTTACACTCATATGCCTATGTAATGACAACCCCATTCATGTGAAACACATTTTTTTTTCCCACAACAGCCAGAAACACTTTATAAAATACCCATTAAAATGTTTAAAGTAGTGCTAGAATAAGGATGGTGTTAGGCTAAGCAAAAAGTTCTTATTCCAGCTGTTGTTGGTACAATGTTCATATTTGCCTTCACCTTCAGGCACAGGGAGAGACCAAGGACAATACTCAGTCACTGCAAGTCATTACAAATAGTTTCCAGTAAAACAGAATCCTATTTCAAATCCCAGTATTTCTGGAGAAAAACATATTTTAATAAGCATGTGTACTGTAGACTGTTCTGTCAGTGGGCTATATTATGCCAGTACTTTTAAACGAGACAAGATGTAATTAACACAAAGGCTTGCAGCTCCTTTGTTCAGATAAAGTGATATTTTAAGGCTATTTAAGTATTCCAGATGAATTATTTAGCTTCAAAAGAGTAAGACTTGCCCACAAAATCACTTCTGTCTTCTTACTAGCAGATAGCTTGATTTGATAAACAGGAAGTGAGAGCTCAGCCTTTTGTTCCATTCTGCTGACTTTGAATTATAAAGTTGAAAAAAAAAATAGTTGGCAAATAATGTGCCAGCAATTTTAGCTATGCTGGTAACTTCATTGAAAACATGTCAGAAAAATGATTTTCTTCACTTGTGAACTAACAGCCTCAACTGTTAATTTTGGAATTAATTCAGCAAATATGTTAAAATATTTTTTCCACAGGCATCAGAAATCCTGACTGCATGTTTTATTATTCAAAACTGTGTTCCAAAGAATACACATTTGTAAGGCATGGCACAGTCTGTTCTTTCTGATAAATGCACTTTGTAAACTCTTAAATGGAGGTCAGAAGGGAAGTACAGTCACACAAAAACCAGAGCATGGTGTCACCATGTTTTCTGGTTTTTATGTTAGTGCTTTTGCCAGTCAGGAAGGCTGCCAGGCTTTGTTACTGTCTCCTAAACACTGCTGAGTTCCTCCCTCTTTCCTTTTTTATGTATTTTCATTTTAAGAAGGCATTTGCAAGATAATTGTGAAGGAAAAATGAGTGAAAATCCAAGCAGGCTGAAGCCTCTCCAGTAATACAGAGAAACCCACAATTCACAGCTGAGACTATGGAAAAAAGATTGGGCAATTCCTTGTAAGGGCAAGAGCAACTTCTGGGTAATTTAGTGCTCCTTTCTTGTAATACAAGTCAGCTTCAGTATACCAGGTCTGATGAAGATGTTTAAATGTAATGAATTAGTACATGTGCCTTGGAAGCTAAAGACACGCTTTGACTAGTACAAACCTCTTGCCACCATCTAACAGGAAAAAGAATGAAGAATCAGCGAAACCTGAGGAGTCTGACTGCCACAGTGTTTTCCTGTCTCCACCCACCACAACTCTAATAGTGTTCTAAAAGCCCTTGACAGGCTAGTTCTTTCTGAGAATGCAGTAAGGACAGACAGGCACACGACAGTGCTGCCTCAGCAGTGGATTTGAGCAGATGGTTAAGCCCTAATTCTGCTGAGTCCCCCAGTGTACATTCTAAGCTTAACTTAAAAGTTTTTATAATGATAAACACTATAATACACAGGGACATGCATTACTGTGCTAGATAAACACTAATACTTGGAGAAAAGGAAAATAATATATTCCAATATTGTAAGAAAACACTGTTTAGAAGCTTCATATGAATATATGATGTCTTTGAGCATAAAATCCGTGTTTTAAATAGTCCCTCTGCACTCCTGAATTCTTTAAATGGATGCTATTTTAAAAGAAAGTGAGTGTTACACGAAGTAAATATTGCAAGGGTGGGAAAAGAGACCAGTAACTAGTGGTGTCCCTCAGGGATCAGTGTTGGGACCGGTCTTGTTCAACATCTTTGTCGCTGACATGGACAGTGGGATTGAGTGCGCCCTCAGCAAGTTTGCCGATGACACCAAGCTGTGTGGTTCGGTTGATACGCTGGAGGGAAGGAATGCCATCCAGAGGGACCTTGACACCCTTGTGAGGTGGGCTGATGCCAACCTTATGAAGTTTAACCATGCCAAGTGCAAGGTCCTACACCTGGGTTGGAGCAGTGCCAGGCACAGCTACAGGTTGGGTAAAGAAGAGATTCAGAGCAGCCCTGTGGAGAAAGACTTGGGGGTGTTGGTTGATGAGAAAATGAACATGAGCTGGCTTCAGTGCTCTTGCAGCCCAGAAAGCCAACCGTATCCTGGGCTGCATCAAAAGGAGCGTGACCAGCAGGTCGAAGGAGGTGATCCTGCCCCTCTACTCTGCTCTTGTGAGACTTCACCTGGAGTATTGTGTGCAGTTCTGGTGTCCTCAACACAAAAAGGACATGGAACTGTTGGAACAAGTCCAGAGGAGGGCCACGAGGATGATCAGGGGACTGGAGCACCTCCCGTATGAAGACAGGCTGAGGAAGTTGGGGCTGTTCAGCCTGGAGAAGAGAAGGCTGCATGGAGACCTCATAGCAGCCTTCCATTATCTGAAGGGGGCCTATAGGGATGCTGGGGAGGGACTCTTCATTAGGGACCATAGTGACAGGACAAGGGGTAACGGGTTAAAACTTAAACAGGGGAAGTTTAGGTTGGATATAAGAAGGAAATTCTTTACTTTGAGGGTGGTGAGGCACTGGAATGGGTTGCCCAGGGAGGTTGTGAATGCTCCATCCCTGGCAGTGTTCAAGACCAGGTTGAACGAGGCCTTGGGTGATATGATTTAGTGTGAGGTGTCACTGCCCATGGCAGGGGGGTTGGAACTTGATGATCTTAAGGTCCTTTCCAACCCTAACTATTCTATGATTCTATGATTCTATGAAAACAATATAACTACAAAGTGAACTATTTGAATTGTTATATACTGAAAACAGAAAATACCATGACATGCAAAAGGCTGTAGACTACCTCCCACACTTCCCTTTTTGCATCCACCATGAATTGCCCCAGTGCTGTCTTCTCATGCTGGGGGATAGCCAGTGAAATCCCTGCTGAGGACTATGCAGTAATGAATGAATGTATGAGAACACTGTAAAGCATTTAAATGTTATAAAATCCCCCACTTATCTGTGGTGCTTTACATATATACAAGTTTGTACTTTTGTAAAATGTTTAAAGTTTGCAGTTACTTCTGCTGTATACAGGAGGCAATCCTCCCTTGCATTGTGCTGCCAAATGAAGTCACTTTTAAGACAGAGGAGAAATTAAGATATCAATAGTGTTTATAAAGTTTTGAGGGCAATGAATCCAAGGTAACAGATACACCTGCAAGTGAACTGTGTCTGCAGTAATGGGACTGTCAACTGAAAGAGTTCAGCCAACTATTCTGCAAGCAGACAGTCAGTTGTATGCTAAATGATGGGCAGGTTTCTATGGCACCTTACTTCCTTTCCTGTTCTCTTTCCTCACCTTTCTCACCCTAAATATAGAATAGCCTCTCTCTGTCTGTTGCATTTTAGCTTGAAACTTGTCTTCCTCTCTCACGGGTGTAAATAAATATCTTACACAGTTTAGAACAAAAATAATACAGGTTTTACCTTTTGAAGCATTGCATTGCCCTGGTGACCATTGACATTGTGGTGGCTGACCTCTCTTTTGTATTGATATTCATAGACCTGGTTAGTTATATTAAGAAGTAGAGTGGATCGCCCAGATTTCAGCTTTTCACATTCATAAACAGTTCCACCTTCAACATCTGAAGCTTTTGTTGCGTATTGTATAATTAACCCCATTACAAGACCTGGAGAATAAAAAAAGAACAAACCCAAAGTGATTCAGGTAATTTTAAGTATCTGATGATACACAATTACCAATCAAGACAAAAATGAACTCAAAGCTAGGACACCACCTTCTCAGTGTTGCCACCTTCAAGAAGGTACACCTCACTCCACACTTCATGGATGACCATAAAATATTCTTCCAAATTGGTAATTTCATTAGAATACAGATACTTGACATATGCTCCGTTGTGCTCCTATTTTTGTAACCCAGTTGCTGGAATCATTCTGATATAGTTAACTGAGTTGCTCATCCACTTAATTTTCAATAGATATTTAGAGAAGGGGGACGCCTGCATAACTAATGTGTTGTACTGAGCATATAAAAATCAGCTTTGATTTTGGTGATTTTACAAACTTCATTCATGAGGGCAAAACTGACAGAGTATTCTCAGGCACATTCTGCTTTCTGTAGAAGGCTATATATTTTTAAGACTGTATAAACATGTGAAAATCAAAGCAGGGAGAAGGAAAGGAAGATTTAAGACTAGGATTAATTGATTTGATTATCTACAAAGACAGGCACTTTGGCTCCCTTTACAGTTAACTGAAAGGAAAATACATTTCTGCAATTGTCCTCTGGAAGGTATGTGTCTTTCTATTGGCTCTAGTGGGAGCTTGCTTAAGTTATTTCCACCCTCAGAGACTTGGATTTGGTTTCAAATTTAATTTCCATGTTTATTTTATCTCCTATAAGTCTCATGTATGATGAACAGCTTTACAGCTACTAATTGTAAACACATTCATCAAATGCTAAGAATACTCAGATTGGTAAAAGACTTTTAAACATCTAGATAGATAAACTTATTAATGAGGGATAAGAAAAAAAAAATTATAGGAAATAGCTGATAAGCATCTGAAAAATATTATGCCAAAATTTAAGCTTTAGCAAGCAATGAGATGCCACGGTGATAAAAGTGATCATAAAGGCCTAGAGAGATAAATAGGATGTCTTTGTTACTGTCACATTTTCGCATAACAGAGTCTCTCTGAACCGCAGATTTCTATCTTTCATGTAAGGCAAGTTTGTAGCTTCCTGGACTGATGCTACAAGAGAGTAACAGCTGTATTGCTTGGTTAGTATACATAAGCATTTGCGCTTGGATTGTATCGATTGTTTGGTATGGGTGGTTTCTTTAAACTGCAAACTTTAGATAAGCAGTAGAAAATCCCAAGGCCACTTTCTTAAGTTATGCAGCATTTGTGCAAACAAATCAGACAATGAATCTAGATTTAGTAAAAGACACAATTCCTCAAAATCTTAGGGGAAATCATATATGGGAAAAGGGGAGCAAGCATTGCATGTGCTACTGTAAAAAAAGACTTCTATGACGGTCACCCTCAGATGTCCAAAATCATGAGTCAGAACCCAGGAAACCATTAATTAGCTAAAACAGTCAGGGTTTTCATCTTATTTTCGTTAGATTTCCTTAGAAGAACCACATCTTTGATTTTCTCATTCTGAGATTTCTTGAATGTGCACTATGTTGGCTAGTACAGCATATACTTTGAACCAAATTCTGTTTGATTGTTTTAAAAATGAGAACAAGTATTGTCAGTCATAGTAATGCAATTGCATTGAATTGTTCAAGGGTAAGTTATTTGAACCTGTAGTGTCAAGTTTAGACTAGGAATAGATGGCTGTTCTGTATTCTGAGAAGATATCTCAGCTGTGATCTTCAGCTGTAGTCTCAAGCTGCCTCTGTAGAAATTTTCTGGAATGGAAACAAATGCAAATACTGTAGATCCTAGTCCTACAGGACAGCTCTTGAGTACAAATAAATCCATTTGCAGGAAAGGAGTCTTTAAAAAGTATGATCATGGCAGCTGTATAGAAATAAAGGACAACGCTGACTGAGATTTGCAGCTGGAATTCAAGTTTGCCTTTTGGGTTTTCTTCTCTCAGCTTTATATCTTATCCTCTGATGGGCTCCAGAGATGAAATGATAGTGAAAGAATAGGAAAGTGACAGAGTATCCAGCAGCATATACATATTGGAGGAATTAAATTAGAGAAGATTCTAACAATCTATATTCTCAAGGCATCAGTGGGGCTTTGAGGTCCTTGTAGCTCTCAAGGAATCTCTATAATGTATTAAATTTTAACAAAATGTGTATGGGATCTATAATGATGGGCCGATTCAGAGTCTTCTCAAATGTTCTATAAAAGATTCAAAGACAACTGCTATCACTAAACTATATTGCAAGAGTCAATATAAATGATGGGATTGTATTTTTCCTTCAGTAATAATAAATGTGCCAACCACCCTATACAAAACCCCCAGTGAGTTAAAAACGTGGGAAGAGTGCATTTAATATTTTAGTAGGTGTATCACTTATGGAATGCACTTTCTGCTTTGGATCATTATATAACATTACTTTTGTGGTGGAATTCAGGAGCCCAGATCATATTCTAATAGAAGTAATTTATTTTTAAATAGGTGTATAATGTACTTTCTGTTCCCCTACTCCCCCTTCCAAACTCAAGTAATGCTTTTGTAATGTATCTTTGGGAACATTTTTTTATAGCTCAAGAAAAAAAAAAATAATTGGGAAATGTCATTTGGATGTCTGTGCCATGAAAAAAAAAAAAGACTAATATTTTCTAATTTCCTTGCAACTAGAGTTTTGTGGCAGAAAAATTAAACATGAAAATTTTCTCACAAAGTTCTGTGGGCTCTGGTAGGTAAAAACATACCTTCTGTACAAATAGTACAGATAGTTCTGATTTCATAGTGGCATGCATACAAAGCCTAGCTTTACCATGGGAGTCTAGGAACTAACGGCAGTTAAAAACCCCTGGATGTGAGTCAGAAAGGGTGCTACATCCATTACTTGGTATAATACATAGGTATTATACCAAGGAACTGATTAGCAGAAATAAAAAAAAATTCAAATAGTATTACATCAGTTAAGGTTGTAGGTAATTATAAACTGATGTAAGGCAAAACTTGAGTATACTCGCACAAAGTACAGCACCTATCTTGTATGCTAGGAGACCAAATCTGATTACAAATGTTTTTAGCTCAGCTTCCCCTTATTTAACACATTGTCCTTCAAAACTAGTACCATTTAATTCATGTTTTCAGCGCATTTAGTTAGGTGCAGCACTGAAAAAAGAAAACAGTGTAACCAATGTTTCAGATTTCTTTAAAGTCTCAATCATCCCTTGAAGTTAGATCTTGCAGCAAAGTCTCACTCTAACTACAGCTCAGTCATGTTTCAATGGAAGGCAGTGCAGGTTTTCCAGCTTCTTCAGCGGAAGCAGGATAAAATCCTTTCATAGAGTATTATAAAGGATTTCTTAAGTCACTCATTTCAAACTCCTCAGCTAAACAGGACTGTTCTTTCCTCAGGATTTTATCTAGTCAGCTGTTAGATGCCTTCCTTAATAACAACACTCAGGGGTGCAGTTTTAGCATTACTTGATTTCCTTGACATTTTAGAATGTCTTCCAGATTTCTTTGTTTGCCTCAAAAATGTTATTCCTCTCTTCACCTGCCCACTACACAATGTCAGTTTCTGCCTTGATCATGATTTTCCCACGCCCTCTGAATCCTGACAATCTTTCTTCATTATGAATGTTGTAGTCAGGAAGACAATGAAGTACTCTATTTTACTGGGGGCTAGAGAGTCCTCTTTTTTTCTGCAACTTGTTACATCCATTGCTGCCTTTAGGCTTCTCAGAATGCACAATCAGAAGGAAACTACAATTATTTCAGACAAGAGGCATAATGGATTTAGAAGGTGTAAGAATCATATTGCCTAATCGTTAGAGACCTCCACCAAAGTTTAATCAAGAACCCTGATTGTTCCTCACTTCCAAATGCGCTGCATGGGATCCTCAGAAGGGCTACTCTGAGTCAGCATTCACACTGCCCACCTGCCAGGTGATGAGCAATTGGAGGAAAGCAAAAAGGAGTGGTAGACCTTCAATCCCCCCCTTCCAATCCCCTCAGAACTTCCAGAAGGATCTCTAACCATTACAACACAAACCCATTTCTTGTGAGTGCTACAATGGCTGTGTTCTGTCATTCATCCTTTTAATGTTTTTGCTCCAGTCTGATCAAATAGTCCCACAGAGCAAAACTTTGAAGGCAGGTACATCTTCAATCTTCCTCAAAAATGTGTATTGTATTGGTGGGTTGATTGGTCGTGAGGTTTGGGGTTTTTTGTTGTTTATGATTCTGTGAAAGTTTCTTTCTGGCCACCTCTTGGAGGACTAGCCTCCTAATCAGAGGTAGCTGGTGGCACCTGTATGTAGCCCTGATACCTAAATTCTGGGAAGGGTGAGAAATCTGGATGCTCAAACCTAGGTTTTCAGTGTGTTAGCTCTGGGTTATTCCCGCACTACTGCGGAGGGCCATGACTTATGTATTATATAGGGAATTTGGCATCTAGTATTTTATGACCGAGGTACCTAATGATCCCAGGCCCTGTAGCAGATGGCTAATAGACACTGAAGTCTTTTATTGTCTAGTCTTAGGGCTGTTTTCTGGGGTCTGGTGTTGAAAGAGGGGCTACGTACTCTTACCTGAGATAAGTGGCATTCAGTTTTCATCACTGCTTGTGTAGATAATCTACCACACTAATTCTGACTGTACTGTTGTACAGCAAATGGTGCTGATAATATATATAAAGGATGCTACTCCCTTTCTGGGTGGCACAAAGTTACTCTTTTATATCCACCTGCCTCCTTATCCAGAAATTGGGAAGTAAGTAGAGTTTACTCTTTTGGGTCTGTTTGTCAAAGCAAGGTAAAGTGTTCAGGGAAACTTGCTCTCTGAGATATTGGAAAATCAAAGAATGAATGAACAACCGGGTAAGTGTGTATTTTTCTTAATTGTTGTGAGTAACTTTTCAGTATGGCTTCAAAACAAAACAATGTGAGTGTTTAAATACTTTCAAGCTAAGTGCCTTGAAATATACATATACATATATATATATGTACACAGGCAGGGTTTTCATTTGTGAAATAACGTGAAGTCCCTGTTGAACTAATTCTGGGTTATGCTATATGCTTTTGTTTTCTTTTCTTACAACTGCAGAAATTTTTGAATTTAAATATAATTATATTCAGTTATAGTTACACCATTGCTTTGATTAAAAAAAAAAAGTCTCAGTTTTTAAATGTAAAGTTTCTAAATGGACAGTTTTCCAGTATGGGCTTTTTCTAGCTGGAAATATTCAGCCTAAAAATTAATTTATTACAAAGCTTGTGTAAACTCATCCTTCTCCTCCCCTCTGCCCCGTTAAAACCCAGACCTTTTCTTTGTTCTAGACTTTAAATAGAACTTTCTATCAGGCTGTTCTTAGTGTTCAATTTGTGGCTGTTCAGCACTTTCCAGTAACTGCAAACTTCTTCCTGTTTTTGTACTTCTGTGGTGTCTGATTCCCCCCCCCCCCCCCCCCAATCTTCCTCCTGCTTCTCTTTCTCTGTCCTTTCCACTGCTATACACCTAAGGGTACACTGTTCTGATAAGGGATACAGACCCATGCATCATACTGTGGGCCACAGTCTGCAAATAAGTGGCCATATTCTGACACCTGAAGCAAAATTATTTGTTTCTTGTGCTACTATTCATGCATCTAGGAAATAGCTCAATGGGCTGGAGTAAAGCAAACTGTAGGGCAGAGACCTCTGGTTTGTACAAAACAGGTATAAATCAGAATTGTTCTGGTAATGAAGATAAAAACTCAAGGCAGGATTTAGCTCACTGTCAGTGCTTGGTGCCATGAAGATTTTCTTCCAGAGTTGCTGCCTGTTGATGGGACATCTCTATCGTGACCTCTGAAATTCCACTTTCTTTTCATCATTGCTATTCCACAATGCTAACCATACCAAAATTTCCAAGTATAAAGAGGACATAATCAGCTTTTTGGATCTTACAAATCAGCTTTTTTCCCTTGTTTGAAGGTTGCCATAAATATTGCAAGACTAAATAGTTTATTTACGATCATGAGGAATGTTTCCTTCATTCATGAATGTTTTAATAATTCAAAAGCTCTGCCCTGATGGAGCACTAATCTCTTAACTGAGCAAAAGAATATAATGAGCTGTTTAGCCTCATGAAGTGCAGATTATGGTCTGGATAGGCAGCAAAACAACCAAAAGACAGACAAAATTCTAATTAAATAGTGAATTATTTGTGTAATTTTGAATTCCACTATATTTAATTTCTATTTTGATAGGCTTTTGTCTAAATCTTCAACAAATGTCACCAGCCACATATAGGAAACAGTGGAATAGTGTAAAGGAAGGTGGTATAGAAGAGTCACCCATGTAATTAGAAAAACTTTATAGTAACTTACAAGCCAATTATAACAAATATGTTGCCCAGTGTTTAATGGTTTGTCTTTTAAGAGATGCTAATAGAAATGCAAAAAGAAAATGTAATTTCAGCTGTGCTCTGTAGCTTACAACCTGTAAAACTGTTAAACAATAATCTAGGTGATGTCGGAGAATGAAAACCATTGTGTTTAAGCATTGTGTGCTGTTTAGTTCTGCCTCAACTGATTCAGTTGAAGCATGTTTTCTATGGGTTTCTATGTGCAACAGACTTCAAGATTACAAAACTGGCGTACGATCAAATAAATAGTTTTTCACAACTTTAAAATACCTGCGAAGCAGACGAGAAATGAGAGATCCCACACAACCAGGTGTTAGGGGCTCAGTGACTGGCTTAATACAAGAGTTTCTTGTTTACTTGCTTTCCTTCAAAGTATCAAGTCACTTGTGAAGAAAGTAAATGAACTAAGATGGTGAAATGGCCTGTGTTCTTGAAATTTCACACAGTCAATCTAGCTAACAAAAAAGTTTGAAGGGGATGCAAGGAAAACTAATCTTCAGCTGCAGTCCTTCTATGGAACTGAAATGATCTTAAAATCCTTGATATAGAAAGAACAATGAAACTTTCTCTCAAAATGCAGGGGTTGGTTAACTGTTCTGTAGCAGGCTTACAGCTGAACCTCCATAGGTGTGCCATGATAAACAAATACTCTTCAGAATATGTAATCTTAACAAAACCAGTTTTGGAGAATACACTGTTTGGGTATATGATGTACATAGAATAACTTTGAATCAAAACAGGTTGACATTTAGATATGGAATAACTGTGCTGCTGATTTATATGTTCCATTTTGACAGTGTCACCCTCCTCTATGGCACAAGAAATGGCAGTCACGCACTTTTCTCAAAGTGAAACAACAGTAGAGAGAGAATGACAAGAAAAATCGCTATACATGTAAGTGTATGCCATTATTAAATTAGTAAGTACTTTTATCAGTGGACAATGCAGAAAGTTCTACATGAAAGTGATACACAATATTGCAAAACTTCATTAAAGAAGATGAGAACTAGACAGGGAAACTGAAATTACAGTACAATGACAGCATTCAGAGATTTGAGTGAGGCATTCTTTGTGGTGTGTCTTTCAAAGGCACAGGGAAAGGGCATAAGAAAAATCTCAAGATCATTTAAACTTTATCAGACAACCTGTTTTGTATCCACAAGGCTCCTTAGTATAACACCTTTATATGTTATACAAAACAAACAGGGAAAATAAGCAAATTATATAGTCTCTTTCACTGAGGGCATTTCATTCTTTTCAAAACAGTAAACTCCTTAATTCCCAAAGTGTCAAAGCTGTTTGAAAACAGTAAACTCCCTAATTTCTGAAGTGGGCTGTCTGCCCACAGAGGAACATAACATGCACATCGTGAAGACAACCAGCTCATGATAGTCACTGCCTTAAAAAGTCAGCCTCTAGCTACTTTATGAGAGATGCTGTTATATTAGTATTTTAGTGTACAGTTATGGACTGTATGGACGACAGTATGACGACACTTCATTCAGCACATTTTCTGAGCTTTGTCAGCACTTGATTTCAAATGCCTGATCATAAATATGCAACTAGTCCCATGTTAAGCTGGCACTTGAATTTATACTCACCATAGAGCATAGCTCCTCCGGTTTCATGCAGAAAGCGGAATCGATGGTTTTTAAACAACCAAATTGTTAATATTGTAAGAATGAGCAGAAAGTTAAAGACTAGCAGCTCCACAGCTCCCTGATGATAAAACTGATCTTCATCTTTCACTGATATGTATTTCTTCAACTTCTCCATTTCGTTCCCTTTGTGGTTGTGGGAAATATGTGCAAAACAAAAGAAGAAAAAAAAAAATCACAGGAAGGAAAGTATTATTGCCTTTGGTACAAAACCTCCAGATACTACAGAAATTCACAGCAAGCACATCTGTTTCATTTGCAGCCTCATGGTAAAGTGCCCCAGCTCAGAATTCAGCTGGATTCTAGTTACAGCTTCCTGTTTCTCTCTTAAAGCTGCCCTGTCTCATTTTGAATGTTACAGTTGCGTAGCCGGGCTGCGCTTGCTCTGGCTGTAGATGTACAAATCGCCTCCAAGGTTCAGGCTCTGTCAACCTCTAAAATTCTGTTGTAAAACTTAGTCCATGTTCACAGTGTTCCTGTAGTTTACAGTGTAATCTGAATCCTAAAAATCATATTTTGTCTTGATAGTTTCAGATAGAAAAAATGAGATTAAAAAACAGCATAGCAACCTTCGTTGCATTTTTGAATCTTTCCTCTTTCCCACTTTTAAATGCAAGTGACATAAAATAAAGGTGGTGTTTTACTATGGTGCAAAGACAGAAGAAAACAAAGTAAGGAATAAGGATTTCAAGATTTAGACCTTGAACTTCTTGTGATCCTACAGAAAGACTGAGCACTCTCTGTAAAAGCAAGGGTCCGATTACCTGGGATTAAAAGCACTTAATCCCCCCATCAAAGTGAATAAATGAAATGTGGAATTTGCTTTCCATCATTTCTGCTGTTTGTATGATTTCATTTACATTACTCAAGCCAGGAAAACTGTAGAACTTGTTCTACAACTTATAGCTAATATGGAAGTTTTTCTGTCTGAGCTCAAGGCTGCAACACGTGTTATACTGGAGAATTCCAAAATAAAATTTAAAAAAAAAAAAAACAACAAAAACCAGAAAACTGATTCTCACTAAAAAAAGGACAATATTTTTTTTTTGTCAAAATCTTATAAAATTTATTTTTAAAAAAGTCATTGGGCCAAGCTAATCTGTACAGAGACCATTCCAAGTCATTTATCTGTCAAAGGTGAATAAATCAGAAGTACTTAGATATGTAATTTCAAGGCTGTAGCTCATAATAATATGAGACCTCACCTGGAGTCTTGTGTGCAGTTCTGGTGTCCTCAACATAAAAAGGACATGGAACTGTTGGAACAAGTCCAGAGAAGGTCCACGAGGATGATCAGGGGACTGGAGCACCTCCCATATGAAGACAGGCTGAGAAAGTTGGGGCTCTTCAGCCTGGAGAAGAGAAGGCTGCGTGGAGACCTCATAGCAGCCTTCCAGTATCTGAAGGGGGCCTGTAGGGATGCTGGGGAGGGACTCTTCATTAGAGACTGTAGTGATAGGACAAGGGGTAATGGGTTAAAACTTAAACAGGGGAAGTTTAGATTGGATATAAGGAGGAAATTCTTTCCTGTCAGTGTGCTGAGGCACTGGAATGGGTTGCCCAAGGAAGTTGCGAATGCTCCATCCCTGGCAGTGTTCAAGTCCTGGCTGGACAGAGCCTTGGGTGGCATGGTTTAGTGTGAGGTGTCCCTGCCCATGGCAGGGAGGTTGGGACTGGATGGTCTTGAGGGCCTTTCCAACCCTAACTATTCTATGATTTGATGAATGTTCCTGAGGAGGCACTCTTGCTTCAATCTATAGTGTTTTAAAATAACTTTTACTATTCTATGGTTCTATGAATTCTGTCCTCCATGTAAACAAATTTTCTCACATTTTACAGGTTTTCATTTATTCGTTCACTTTGTATGAAAAGCAGTTTCCTTCTAGTTTTTTTTTTTAATTAATGCTTTACCTTCCTTACCAGATACCAGATTTTTTTTTTTTTTTTTGAAGTATCACTGTTTTGTTTTGGTGTTGTTTTGGGTTTTTTGGGTTTTGGATTTTTTTTTTTCCTTTGCTTTAGAGACACACTGAAGGCATTTTCAGGCTTCTTTTATGTAAGACAAGACATCTGTGTCAGAAAAAGCTTCACTGTCCCCAGGAATGAGAATTTAGACACTAGCAATGTTATTTCAGACATCACAAAACCCTGCCCTTGTTGAAAAACTCTGGGGGGTTTATGTCTGTTTGTTTTAACTGGTTTTGTTTTTTCTATTTGTTTTAATTGTTTCTACTGAACTAAACACCACAAGCCTGTTCCAAGATTCACTTTTTTGGTAGGTTATAAGTTTCTTGAGTCTTAACAACATAAGGGCTTCATAAAAGACTGTATATGAAAAGTAACACCAAGTGTCGCAGCTCTACAAACTTTTCATCATGTGCTTAAGTCTTCAATTTTATCACTGAATCAAGCCGCACTTTCTGTATAGGTTTTGGACTTAAAAGTAATCTAGACTGTCTTGGTTTAAACCCAGTCAGTCAGCTCCTTCACTCACTCCCCCCCTTCTTTACCTCCCCATACTCCTGGAGGGACAGAGAGGAGAATCGAAAAGAATGCAACTGCCAGGGGCTGAGATAAGAACAGTTTAGTAACTAAGGTATAACACAAATCACTACTGATACCACCAACAATAATAATGATAAAGGAAATAACAAGGGAAGAGAATACAACACCTCACCACCCACCAACTGATAACTTCCCCCACCCCGCCTGACCAAGCACAGACCGATACCTAGTCCAGCTCCACAGTCCACTAGCCCTTCTGGGTAACTGCCCCCAGTTTATGTAGTGGGCATGACGTGCTGTGGTATGGAATACCTCTTTGGCTGGTTTGGGTCAGGTGCCCTGTCTCTGCTTCTTCCCGGCTTCGCCTCCTCCCTGGCAGAGCATGAGACTCACAAAGTCCTTGGCCAGACCAAACATTTGAGCAGTAACTAAAAACATTGGTGCTATCAGCACTGTTCCCAGGCCGAAAGTCAAAAACACAGCGCTTCATCAGCTACTAAGGAGAAAAAAATGACTGCTACTGCTTAACCCAGGACATTATCCACCCCTTATTCCATACCATTCACGTCATGCTCAGATCCCATGTTTTCAATATACCATCACTCTTATCTCAGTGCACTCTAATCTTAGTGCATGGACCAGTCCCTATAAAGCTGCTCAGTCCATCTGGTCCATGATGTCAGGCTCCATCTCTTGTAACAGTCTTTCGGGGCAGGAGAAGCTGTGTGCAGTGTTCACACTCGTGAATGATCTGGGCAATAGTGTCCATTGCTAAGTCCACCCCTCGATCATGAGTCCATCTCTATGTTGCATCTCTGCTCTGTTGGCCTGAAGTGCCATGGGCCCACCAGGCTCAAAATAATTCACTGTCCCCTTCAGCAGTTTCTGCAGCTTGCTGCTCCATACAGCTGCCTTCCATCTCCAACACTTCCAACGCACTGGACAGGCCCAGTGGACTAGATACTTGCCCATACGAGACACAGACTTTACTGATAGTTAAAGGGCTATGTTTCTTAATATTGGCATAATAAAAAGGTGTTTATCCTTCAAGAGCTTATTGCTGTAATGGAAAAGAGCTCTGAATAAAAGGTGATCTTAGTATTAGCTTTTGGCATTTGCTTAGTTACGTTAAGTTTCGTTTATAAATGGGAACTGGTGATAATGGCTGAGGACATTGTGAAGCAAAATTTTCAGATCTGAGTTTTAAGTTACTAATAACTTCTAAGGGGGCCAGATGTTCTGCTGCAGCAATCCACATAAAAGTTCACTTCTATATTATTGCTCTGCAATAAAATATGCAAACATGTGAAGATATGATGATTAAGGAAAGCTAACTATCTGATGCAACATGTTGCAAGTGGTTATTTTATACATAAATTACTGGTGGAAATATACGGCAACTAACTGGTCCAGGATCTTAAGAATGCTTTTTGCTTTTAATAATCTGATGACATTTTGGCATGTATAAGCTACTCAGAAGTATGCCCCACATGTTCAGGGTCATACATGGAGAACAGCTAATGTGAAACCTGTAAGTAATAAAAAAGCCTGAATTAAAAGTTTCAATCCAGATAGTTTTGTTATATTTTGTGATGAATAGTATGACTTTATTCTCTGAATTATTGTTCTCTGTATACCATATTATTTTATTAGAAATATAGGTACACCTGTAGAACCAGATACCTCTTGAGCTAAATGAAACAAAATCACCTCTCCAGTGTTTCTGCATGAATGTTTTGTGAATTACGGTTCTGGAAAAAAACCATGAGTCTGGATAGATGAGAAGTAGATGAGAAGCAGCTTTACTGAGAAAGTGGAGGTAGCTATGAAAAAACACAGAAACACGTATGGCCTCAGAGAACCTTATCAGTGTTTGGAAGATCTCAGTTGAAAAACTTTTGGCACTGTGACCAGATAATCTGTTTAATCTTTCTGTGCTCAGGTCTTTCCATGTTCTTATACATAACCACAGTTTCAGCAGTATCCAGGCCCTTCATCAACTTCCCCTCCTAACTGGAACAACCCCTCTCCAAGTTTTGGTTGGTTTGAAGGTCAGATAGAACAACAGAGTTTTGCAGCAGCTGCATCATATTTGCAATACTGATAATAAATGATAAATCATCACAAAGGAAGGAAGGTGTCGTGGTTTAAACCCAGTCAGGTAATGGGGATATGGATAAAATAAAAAGTTACTTTTTGGCTTTCAGAACAGGCTATTTATTGGGTGAATGAAGAAAGTTTTCACAGGGAAGATATTTTGAGTATTATTTAACAGGTCAAATACAGAGCCAAAATAAGTTAAAGTTCCTGTTGGAAGGTAGTATGTCAAGTAATTCTCATAATACCTTGCTCTTACTACAACTAATATTTGCTTCATCTCCCTTGGCATGTCATTTTTATGAACAGAGGTGGTAGCAGTCTTGCTTATTTTCTATGTTCACCTTATCAACTCTACTTTATGAATTCTACAGAATAATAATCCTTTCCTCCCTTAGCCTGGCAGATGTAGAAGTCTGCTCTTACAGAAACTATTAAGATTAAATAGAAAGCAGAAAAGGCCTTGTAAATCAGTAGAGAGATTCTCATCTTGGAAAATATAAAGTCAGAAAAGGAGCACAATGCAAAAATTGTAATTAATTATAGTAATTATAGTTATTGGGAATTCCAAGCAGAGAGACGATGCTTTGACAATTATGCAAGCATAGGAAAAGTACAGCCAAAAGTAAAAACAAACATTGAAAACAGTGCATCTAAATACGTAAATAAAAACTGAAGCAAAACCAGTTCTGAAACTGAGAAATCAAGCACATTGCCAGTGCACAGATAAAAAATGTTCTGTCATAGCTCGCTTGCCTAAAATCCCCAGGCAGGCTGGAACAGGATTACTGGGATCACAACTGGTTATCCTTCTCTAATCCATTCCAGCCAAGAAGATCTGCATTGCTAGCTCCTGTTCTTATACAGAGCTGCTTATGAATTAGTGTGGGCTAAGGCCACTTAGGGCCACTAAGCCCCCAGTGGTGGGCTAAGTGTCAATCTATAACTGCCAGACCTCAGTGTATTTGGAAATCTGTTCTACTGCTTAGAAGAGCCTTTCTATGAAATGAATTTATTTGCTGGTTGCTACTGACCTTACCCTCTATTTTTCTTTTTTTTTTTTTAATTTTTTTAATTTTTTAATATTTCTTTCTTTTTTTTCCTGAGGTCAGACTAGTATTGCTGGTATTCTATCTACATGGGTCACAGCATCTCTAGTGACAGAAACAAGTCCACATAATCTATATATCTGTGACGTTACAGTTATTACTTTTAGCTGAAAAATAGATTTAAAAATAATTCCTGCTTACTGGAATGCATCTTTCTATGCAGAATGCACTACCTTGTGATTTTGGTTTTAGGTTTTTTTTTTGCCCCTCCTTGGTTCAAAGCCTATTTTACTGCCTAATCAAAATACAATATTAGTTATGATCAGTAAATCGAGTTCAGTGAAACTGGATTTTCAATCTCCCAAGAGAGTTGTGATATTTCTCCTCATTTGCCACTGCCTCCAGACATTGTATCAACACAGGAAAACCTTTCCTCCCTTTAGAGCACTAATGAGCTCAATGCACCCTGTAATGTAACAACCAGCTCAACACACTCTAATTGTCATTCTGGAACCAACCTTTACAGACCAATTTCAATTCAGAAAGAGCTGAAATGCTCATGTGCCAGTGCTTCTGGAGAAACTAAAGCTCTGAAAGGAGAACAGTTTGATTCTATGAGCTATCACTGTACATTTGATCTGCTCTGTTTCAGCCAATAGGTTCAGAACTAAGGCAAATTCTTATGAAACTCTGTGAAAGTGATATTGCCTATTTATACAGTTTATACTAACCCACGTTGTTCATTGTCAGGATCATGAAGGGTATATTTTCAAGGTTTACTTCCTTGGATTTAATGTTCATTTTCAGCCTAAACTGCTACACTGCATTGTTTTATTTTTATGTTTTAATAAACTGAAAACCAGCCTAGATAAAGAAATTAATTTGAAAATGCCAATTTTAAAGATAATTTTTTAAATCATAGTTTCCTGGCGGGGGACTGCTTGGGGAGCTAAAAAGGTGAGAAGGGTTCACTATGAAATAGAATGTTCATGAAATCTCAACACATGTAAAAGCTGATTTGCTGTTTATCCCAGGCAGCCTATTTCTGGAAGGACTGTGGCACACTGACTCATGTTCATGTTGCGGAACCATGGACTTGTGCATGTCGACTGGTTTAAGTTCAGCCTCCTACGAAACAGGTAGTGCATCAGTTCCATAGACTCTGTTGCAGGCTGGGAGGTGTGAAGGTGAACCATAGCAGTAAAGACTCAGGCAAAACTGTTTAAGCTCAGGTAATGTCTCTATACTCTACTGGGTTGCCTGATCCTGCTTCTGCCTTCTTTGTGCTTCCTTGGCCCATTTGAGTTCATCCAGGTGTTCCTTCTTCATCCACACTGGCCTTGTGACATGATTGCTTGATTTTCTGCATGTTGGAAGGTTCTTGTCCTTTGAAAAAGTTATCTTTGAAGATAAATCAACTCTCCTGGGCTGTTGGCATTAATAATACCCCAGTGATATTGCATCACCGATTAAACTGCATTTGGTACACAGCAACTACAGAAATGCGACTGCATCCATGACTGCCATGCCGCAGCAGTGAACATCCTGACTGTGTCTGACATCTAAATCTTTAAAAAACCCAAAACAAAACCCCAAACCACCACAAACAACAAAATGAACACTAAAAAAAACCAAACAAAGCTGCTGGACAAAGTATATTGCGACAGTGATTTTTTTCTTGGGGACATTTTTCAACAGTATCTAATTTGGTGACTTGTGTTTCAGATACAGGTTATATTAGAGTGTTCTGTGGTGTAACAAAGTACTGCTAAGGAAAGTGTTAAAAATACCTGTTATAACTGGTTTACATGACTTGGACTAGTCTTTTTCGTGACTTGAATCTGGAGGTATATTCCACTAGAGGGCTCTCTTTACACGTGAAATGAGAATCTGACGAAGCCGTATACTAGATCTTTTATCAATTCTTCAGGCTAAAGACAGGGGTTTTGGTTTATGTAAAAAACATTTTGTAGTGCATCAGTATACTGGATATGACTGGATAGTTAGTAATACATAATTATTTTTGTGACTTCGTTTTCTGAGGAAGTATGTTAGTCCAACTGAATTACTTTTAGTCTGTGAACACAGATGTTTCGAGTAACTCCTAGTTAAATTAAACATCTTGCCCAAATTTGTGTCTCCCCGAGGTCAGGGGGAATTGGATTAGGCTAACATTTTTATTTTATGGCTTCTGCTAATACCATTAAAGTATTTTTTGGGTGCAGGTTTATGTATACATATGCTGGCCAGCCTTATGTGAAGATAACCCTGCTATCTTCCTACCTGAGAGCCTAAAAACGTATTTTACTAAAACAGACCTATGATGAGCAATGCTGTTTTCATCTCTATCCAAACAGCAGCTGTTCCTTTTTTCACTTGAACACTGTTTAAAAGCTTGTAAATAAGAAACATTAAGAACAGTTAACCACTGTTTCTTCATAATTGCACTGTGCCATCAGCAGCAGCATTTCAAGAGCACAGGTTGCATTCTTGCATACAGAAGACAACTGGGGCTATGTTTGTAATGTAGGCACAAGAAGTGCAGGCAGGCACTTTTGAAAATCCCAGAGGACGTAAACTCCTATTACAGACAAACAAGGTTTACGCCTGCTGCTGTCCTGTAGTAACCAGTCTTTCTTTAAGTGAATCACATCCAAAATGTAACTAATTTAGATCTGGGAATATCTGCCTGGAGTGCCATGTTGCTTTCCTTGCCCAAGGAAGAGCCTGAATCGCTCCTTTGCTTATCTCTAGCCTAGTCCTTGGCCTTTGTTGTCTCTTCTTTTGCTTTTGTTTGCATAGGTTCTGGACAACCATTGCTCTCACTCCGAGCCATGTCTTATCCTTATGCTGCTTTTGGTTCCAACCTTTTTATTCACAGACCTCTTTTCTTCCAATTGACAGTTTTCAAATATTTTTCTCTTGTTCTCTGGAAACTCTAGTTGCTATAGAGACACCTGATGATTACAGAGACAGTGACTACCTTTGTTAGAACCTCAGTTGCTATAGCAATGACTGTTGGCTATGGGTTCAATGAAATCTGCTACATGGTTCATGCCCTTTTACGCAGCAATACAGCTTGTAAAAGCTTCTTTTAATTGTTATGCTCAGTAATGAGACTGTGAGCCAGATTCTGTTCTAATTGAAGTCAGTGGGAGTTTTGCCATTAACTTCAGTGAAACCACAGTTTGGTCCTAAACTCCCATGTGCATAAATAACAAAAGGAATCTACTTTCAGCACAGTGGCAAATAGAGTATGGTTACACTCAGTAATAGCTTGTAACAAAACCTAGATGTCTGTATTTTACAAAACACTGACTTACATGATAATATCTTTTGACATATTACAGAAATAGTCAATTCTCAGATCATGGTCCATGTGTGTGTGCATATCCTTTTAAAGAGGGAAATTGTGAAATAAAAATGTGATCTTTAAAATTCTTAGATGATTTATTTTTCATCATGGAGAAATGTTTCTCTATTGTTACTTTGTGGAAATAGTGACAAGAGAGTACACATTTTTAAGGAAACAGCTTCAATCACAGGTGGGGTATCCCTACTGAAATGGTAGATATAATGCTGTTTCAAAGGCCATTATTCCTCAGCAGTCTCCCTGAATTTTTGTTTGACACTATGGGAATGACCTCTGAAGAATGTCTTAAAGCTAACTTTGCCTTTGAGCTATTTCTATTCTATTTAAGGTATCCTAGAGATAGTTTCAAAGTTGTGGGAATCCAATTCAAGGATAAGTTGAGACTGGAAAGTGCTGTATTTGATGTGTCCTTCCACTTAAGTTTGCTTTGTTAGGTGATACCCAAATAATCATATCTTCTAACTGTTGTAGTAATTCCTTCCTTTATCTGGTGGCCTTTTCAGGAATCCATTACTGCTCTATTTAACCTGTTTTTGTGAAGCTGTGTGGAAATCTGCTGTTTGTGTCAGAAAAACAGTTCTTTCCCCTGACCCCCTTGATAAGGTCTAAGTTATAGGCAAGATTATAAAATACCTTCTTTTCAGCATGCTCAGAATAAATACTGGCATGCCCACTTCAACAGCTGCTGCAAAACTGAAAAATTCTCAAGTCCTCTTACAGTGTTTTACCATGCATATTTTGTATGAAAATCTGCTCATTTTAAGCAGTCAGGAATAGATGACAGAAAATCATGGAAGTACATGAAATAAATATCATTGATCCCTTTCTAAAGATTTAGGCTGAAGTCATCACAGTGGAGATTTTGATTGCTGAGGGAAATGTACGGAATGGAGAAATATTGCCATTACAACAGAGAGCCTGAGGTCTTTAGTAAATCACACTTTGTATTTTATATAGATTTGTACTAGAGTCACTCTGCAGGTTACTTCCAGAAACATGCAGAACACTAGAACTCCTGCGTGTACTCCCATGCTTTGGTGTGCTGACTGCTTTGCAGCAGTTTTTTGGAACCAGGCCAAAACTCTTAGCAAATCCAGGCTCACTTATCTTTCTTTTCCCTTCATATAATTTCCTCAAAATTTGGCATTTCTTCTTGCTGCATCAGTCATGTCTGTTTCTCTTTCTTCTGCTCTCCAAAGATAAGCTGTGGAACACTCATGAAATAAATCATGAAAAAATATCCTTTTATGAATTCTACTCTCCTCTGGTGATCAGACTCATTTGATGATCAAAGTCCATATTAGGCATTTCTTTGTTTCGATGCTAGCCTGTTGGGCAATTTGGTTGTTCCTGGTATTCATGCATGCTATATTTTCTGTGAATAGAGACTCCACAATTGTTAATAACTGTGCATTTATAATTTGTAATTTATGATTAATTTAGCATCATAAAATCAGAATTAAAGAATAATTTGGGTTTGAAGGAACTTCTGTGGGTCATCCAGTCCAAAGTCTGAGTCAGATTAGATCAGGCTCCAAACTGCTTAGTGGCTTGCTGTTTTTCCCTTTGAATCTTTAACTTGCAGGTAGAGAAGAAAGGAAGCAAACAAGTATTGCATTCAAATTAAGTTGGCAATTCGAAGAAATTGCACAAAAAAACCCCACCTTTTATAATGTAGAGCTCAAATTTAACAAGTTATACATAAATTCCATCATACTCGAAGCATTATGTCGTGACTCCTGCATTTTCATTCCTTTGTCAATCTGGTCATGGAATAACATTAGAACTATTGGTTTTGTAACTTAGGCATTGCATGACTATTTTCCACAAATCTGTTCTGAGAGACACAGGAGACCTGAAATCCTGAAAATTCTTGGGGACCACTAATTTTGGTGAGATTTTTTGCTTTGCAGGAAAAAGCTTTCTGAACTATGAACTGACTTTTTGAGGCATGCGAGGGATTCTGTCCTGTCTTCTAACAAGCATACGTAATGTATTTTAGATTATTCATATGTTTTGCTTGGCTGCCTGGTGCTTTCTTGTATTATCTATGGACAAACTATATTCTGGTATTTGAAAGAGAGACATTGTTTTCCATATCCTTCTAGTAAGAATGTAATGTCTGAAATGAAGTTCTGTCTGTTCCTAACTGAGGCAGAAGAGAATAATTCCCTGCTTGAGGAATGCCCCATGTAAAACTTACAGCAGTTCTGTGACACTGTTAGGGAGCGGAGCTATAGAAGCTCATCATCCCAGTTTACTAAAGGCTTGGAACAAAGGAAGATTTGTGTCTTCAAATCACACATTGTTCTTGCAACTGCTCCTTAAGTGCCTAACTGATTAATAAGTGTGCTTCCAGGACACGGAGACTTCTGTGGATGCTCATGTCTCTCACAGTTTAGGTGCTTCTTAAGAAAAACAGCGTATCTTCTCAATACCCTTAAACGTAAAAGAAAGTCATTTTAGGAGAAATCACCTTAGTGTCCCAGACAGAAAGTGGCAGGAAGTTATTCAAACTGAGCTAGCACTTGTGGTATTGCTTCTTTGTTTTCAGACATGCTGTTAACAGTGCTCTTTATCCACCTAATTGTCCCTTCTCTTGCCGGCTGTCTTCAACCTCTGTTGAGTGCAGGTCAGGAGAAAGAGCTGTTCCTTATGAGGCAGCTTTAGCAAAATGAAAGAAAAAGTGTGTTGTACTTAGATTTATATTGTTACTGCTTAACTTCTCTCCTCTGGAGCACAGCTTGAACTCTTCCATGAAGAACGTTCTTTCCCCCATGTCTGACAGTGTGATCCTGGCAACGCTCAAGCTGCTCCAGGTGTATGGAAGATAGTAGGATAGGTCCTCACCTACCAGAACAAAGATTCTATGAATAGAGGAAAGTCATAAATGATCAATGTCTCACAGCAGTCCTTTTTTTGTTTCAGTAGCAGCAAACCCCAGAACTTTTGTGCATCCACTACTGTCACTCCAAAGTGGAGTGAACTGAACTCCTCTTGGAAAAGAAGAAAAGTTGCAGCTTTCTGATCAGCTGGATTTGGAGAGACAAGTCATAAATATTCAGCACTCCCTGTTACTTTTGTGGTCTTTCCCCCTTCTCAATGTATACAGAAATAGCCTTCAAACATATATTCCAGATGAAAATAACAATGGTGTTTTGGGGATGTGATATATTACATCACGAAACATGTTTTCAGCCTGAGTTAATGTGAAGACCTAAAGGTTCTCTTTGTGACTCTGGAAGACTGCCACAGAGCATACCCTATTTTGTTTGAATATTTGTTAACTCTGGTTTTGAATATAGCTTTTTCTTGAAAGACACATTACGGGTGACCAAAAGGTCAGTTCTTGGTTCTGGAAGAAACTAATTTCTTTGGTTACATTTGCATCTTGCACACTAATTTTTAGGGGGTTTAAAAGAAGTAAAACTGAAAATACCATTATCTGACCTTTGGAGTTGTTCCTTTATCTAGGAATTATGCATTTTAAAAATTACATAAAATATTTGGAATGTGGATACTGTAATGTTTTATAATGATAGGTATTTTTCATGTCTTAAGATGGTAGAAGAAAAGTGAAACTATGTTAGTATTCTGACAACACAATGGGTTGCATTTCCCCAATTTAGATTTCAAAGTCTCCTCCTAAATCCCCCATAGAAATCAGTTCCTTTGAATTTAATAATTCACATCTCACATAAGAGATAGGCTTTTTAGGAAAAACATTTTAATGTATTATTTAAAGTTTCTGACTAATATATGTCATAGCCTAGAAATGGAATATTGCGCACTGAGAAAAAACTTTTTACTGCACTGCTTTTTTAAAAAGGAAATTGTGGGTCATGTAACTTTTTGTGTGATATTTTAAAAGATAGATGGCATTTTAAAAGATATGATGAGAGCACATCTTAAACTGAATTGCACTCATAGCAGGCAAATAGGGGAATATTGGCATTCCAAATGGAAATTCACACATTTATATGTCCTTCCTTAATATTTTTAGAATTTCTACTAAAATACTTTTGTAAAGAAAAATAGTATGATTTTTGTAATTGAAAGAACCCCTTTGAGACAATCCTCAAATTTATCACTCTTTTAAAATGAATGGGAGGGGCCACAAGAACAGCTAGCCAGCTAAACAATGTATTTTTAACAGAACTTTTGCTCTGCAATCAATTCTAGAGTTGGCCTGAGTCATCTGCTCAGCTATAAATTATTGTTATTCTGCTTTAGCTTGATTTTTTTTTCTTTCTGCACAATCTAGCAGACACACATTTGTTTTGCAGTTCATAAAAGTGATATTGCCATAAAACCAAGCAATTCACTACTTATTACTCTCGTTCTGCCATTCTACCTCGATTCAATATAAAACTAAATTCCATTTCATATTTTATGTAGGAATTTAGACACCTGAGGGCCTGTATTTCTGAAAATACTAGCTAAAAGGATTAGTGTATGCTTTGTCCTAAGGAAGCATTGAAATTACTTTAACTTGTCTAAACATCTTCATGCGAGAGAACAATTTCAGAAGTACAGTAAATAATGGATTTTTTTTTTCCAAGGTTCATGTCTGTAAGCAAAAGTTGCTAGCAATACCATCCTTTGAGCTTCTGTTGCAAAGCAAATAGATATCAATACAGTGTTACTTAATGAGGAAAAAGAGATTTATTTCTCAAAAAATGCTAAAAAATGTTGGGGGTTTGGGTAAATAGGAATTCTCCTTTTTTTCCTTTTTTTTTTTCCTCCTCCTTCCACTCCTTTTCATGTGATTTGCTGAGGGAAAGCCAAAGAAAAAACAAACAACTTAAATCCCAGCTATTCAAACAAACCAAGAAAAAACAGTCAGTTATTAAGAAATCTTGAATGAAAATGTAAAAGAGTTTCTGAATGAAAATACTTTTGGACAAGTTACTAAGTATTTTTCCATTTTGCTGCTCTTGAGACATTGGACAACTGTTACAGCTCATCTACAGCTGTACATCTACAATGAAACTGGTAATTGGCCCCATCCCTCTCTCATGAAGAGGCAGCAACTATTTCCTTTGGAACAGTTATTTTGTCTTGTAAGAAAACCCATATAGGAAGGACAAGAAAATTCAGCTAATACATAGAATCAATTAAAAACACTGAGATGTCAATGTCAAGACTTGTGTCAAGACGAAATTGGGAGAAGACAGCATCATTGCAAATATATGGACCCTTTAAACCAAGAGAAAATACTGTATCAAAGCACAAAGGTGCTAGGAATCCACTTCTCAATCCTCACTCTGGGCTTTTTGTTTCCCCTTTAAATCTAGCATGACTGTCTCAGGGGCTATGATACTTTCTCTTTAAGAAACAGATCTTTTCATATGACAAAATCTACATGAAAATTGTTCATAAGAAATGTAGAATCGATGAAGTCTACTTCTTCTAAAGCCCAGATCTGAGAGATGAGACATACGAATTTCTTGCCTTACTTTGCCAAGGACTTCCTGTAGGGGTGTTATCATTTACGTCTTGTTGTGAGATTTAATTGACTCATGTTTCTGAATGATTCTGGAATCCCTAAATAGTTACTCTACAAGTATTCAGTGGTGTTCTTAAGAATTGCCAAATAATTCAGGCATTTTCCTAAAGGAACACATGCAGCTGTACAGGGTCTTAATATATTGATGCCACCACGTACAATCCTTTTCTTGGATATGCTATTGAAGAAAAGCTGCCAATAGCTTTATGGAAGATGCATCTTTTCTTTCAACTCTGTCCTCCATTTCAATCCCATTTACAAAAACCAACTCTGTTTCCTATGCATTGAACTATGGAGTAGAATTTATGGGCCTCCATTTTAAAATTACTTCCACAGTGCACAGAGGTTTCCTGGGGAGAAGGGCAGTTCTAAAACTGAAGAATCAATAAAACTGGACTCTTGCTATTTAAGGATTACAGCAGCATACCAGAAATATCTGTCCAGATACAGCACTCGTCACTTTTGCAGAACTATGACATATGTTCGGAACCTTTAGGGACATTGAAAAATCCCATGCTATAATCAATGCCTTAGGTGACATTTTCTTTTGTCCTGTTAATCTGCAGTAACAATTGCCTTTTTTTCAGTTTAAGACAGGTAAATCAGAAACACATGAAATGGCTTTCTCTAATTTTCTAGAAGTGTTTTATACTCCCACAGTTGAGCTGTGGGAGTACAAAATCGTGGTTATTAAATGTGAATGAACACAATTTATTGTGTACCTCTACAGAATGAAATGTATATTGACTCCACTGAACAATATTATATCATAAATAGGTTGAAGGAGAGCCTTCTGTTAACTGGAATACTCAATAGTATACTAAGGAAGATGAAATCACACCATTTAGTGCCATACTATTAAAAATAAGTCTGGAAAAAATACGATGGAATCTGTGTTAAAAGGTATTTTTCAGAACTGTAGACCTGGCTATTCAGCATATCTGAATACATGGTATTCTTACTGCAAACTCTGCAGTCTTTTCTCCCTTGTAGCAGTAATGCCTGGGAAACAAGATTTTCATCAGTAACAGCAGCATTAAGCCAGGCCTTTAAAAATTTCATTGAAAGAAGAAAATTATCACAGTGATTTACTGTTCTGTCCCTGCTGGAGACCTAAGGTTGAATTCTGATCTGGGTGACAAATTAAGAAGTAATTTTATGCCAGTCACCATCTGTGCAGTATCACAACATTACTACACATTCTAGCATCATTCAGAATGCTACGAAATCAAAGTTACAAAGACACGCATCCTTGCCTCAGTGGTGAGATGTACGCATAGTGCTGCTTGGGAACACTTAAGCAGCACTACCGCATGATGGTTCATTCTGTTACTGCTTCGCTTATTAAAAGCAGATTCTCATCTCTCTTGCATCTGAGGAAATAAGATAACAATTTGGCCCCATAACAGCGAAATAACTCATTTGCTACTTAATGTGCTGTTCCATTAAGCACCAATATACCAACCAGTCACAGATATAATTCCCTACCTCTTGTTTTAATCCTACTACACTCTAAAATGTACTTCTAATGTTGGAGAATTTTTCTGCATGGAAATATAATTACATCTTTAAGTTGGGGCCATGAAACATTTGCATCTGGCAACGGTGATTTTTGATACCTGCAGATAGATTGCATTAAGCTAACTTTGGTACTGAAGACTGACAGGGCTTATAATTATGCTGCCACTAGATCTGCAAAAGCAGAGCAGGGAAGCAGCACTTGTAAGACTGCTTTGTGCCAGATGGCACACCATGTCAGAAAAATCTATTTGAGCCCTTGTGTTCTTGCTTTATAACCAGCAGATTGTCAGCTGGAGTAAAGTACAGAAAGTATGTAATTTAACTGACCTTGTCTCCGTAGGAATTGGTTCAGAATCAGAGGATAAAACTATTGATGTTTTGACTTGGTGAAGCTGTTTCTTTTTTCTTCTTTTATCTCTCATACAAGATGTATCAGTGATTGATAAGGACTGCTGCAAAACTTGCTCTGAAATATGAATGATTTCTGAACTTGAAAGGCATATCATTTTAATAAAATACTGCCCTATAATACTGCTCCTCAATCCTATGACCTCAGATACCTAGAAGTAAGTTTCTTTATGTTGCACATTACAAAATACAGCTTTATTAATTTTCATGGTTATATGCTAGAAACCATATATATATTCGAATTGGGATTTTGAAGTCAAACTTCAGATATCAAACTGATCTGATAAACCACTTCAGTTTGAAGATCCAAAGCACACTGTCTCCTAACACAGTGTGAAAAGTAAGCATCAACCTTTAGGTTACCTTCAGGTTCTGTTGTTAATTTCTGAGCAATTACAAAACATTTAGGTAGTGCATTCACAGGGGAACTGTCATAACTGGGTACGTCGGGAGGAAAAAAGGCATCTGGCTCACTCTTCATCAGCACAGCTTGCTTGGGTGCACCCTCTTTATCTCTTTCTCTTGTAACAGGGGAAAAATGCTCAGACTGTCCATCACTCTAATGGCTGCACCCTGGTAGAGTTCTGAGAGCACCCTACCTTGTATTCAGCAAAAGTTTGTTGAACCCAAAATACTGACAATTAAATACCTGAGAATCGATGAATGAGTGTCTTCTAACTATGTAACCAGCAACATACTATGGTCTTTCATGCAACCCAGTTTAAAAACTGGAGGGTTGTCTTTCAAACCAGTTACTAATGTTTGTTCCTATGAGCTACTCATTTTTCAACCAAACCCAGTGAAAATCAAATTATAAATAAATGAAATAAAAATTGATAGCTTAACTGTCTCTCATCAATTCTTCCAGTGCTTTAATCTTAAGCAATCAGCCTGCTTTCCAGGAAATACGGGGTACTCTTTTTTTTTTTATCTCACTGTTTATGACCAGAAAGCACTGCAAACATTTTTAAGGTGACTTTGAACCTGGCAAATGTTCACGGCCAATGCAACTTATGAAATCGAACTGGAGGTACAGCTGTCTCCTGAACAGGAGGCAGGTAAACAGAAAAAAAATATAGAGCCTTAGACTCACCTTTTGAGTGCTTTACAGTACGAACAAGAAATAGTATTTATTAGCATAGCAACTTCAAAATATCTATTACTGGCAATGCTGTCTTCATTGGTGTCATATTTTTCACCTTGTCAAGCAATTATTTTCCTTTAATTTTAAATTTAGTAATCAGTAAAACAATAAGAGAATAACAGTTCTTAAAAATATTTTTTGTTTGGTTTAGATCTCTAGGCCTTTTTCAGTTAATGAAAGTCTAGATTGTGCAATGAATTAATGAATAGAAAAAAAAGAAAACAACTGCCATCTCTGAACACTGTTATCCTCCCGGCAAAGTCAAACTGAAGTTATAAGTTTCAACTAGCTGTGGGTTAAGTTTATATTATCTAGTTGTAATATTTAAAATTTAGTAACTAAAATTATTTTAATGGGAGTTCTGATCATGGTGCATTTGCATGCCAAACCAGTATTTGAGCACAGGTGATTGCATTTTGCTCACTGTCATGTACTAAGGTGATTAATAGATATGATGCCAAATTTCCGTGTATCGTTTTTTGATTTACCTTTTTTACTATTGTCTAATTTATGTTCCAAAACTTTAAAAAGTCATTAACTTTTGTTTGTTATATTCCTAATCCTTTCATTCCCATTATTTTAAGTGAATTAAAATGAAAACAGTTTTTCATTTTATGTAGCTGTTTTTTTTTCCTTTAGATCTGTGTTGTGATTAGTGAATCTAAGCTTAGTCATTTCTCTTGTTCTTGCCACTATGACAGGTCTATAATTTGATCCATATGCCAAGTTTTCTACTTTTAGACTACTGTTTCTATGTCTATAAGAGTACATCTTAACACTCTTACTTAGTTTGAATATACTACTGTATCTATGTTATCCAAGAATAAACCATACCCATGTAGCATTTTTGAGGTCCAGTTAAAGAATATTTCTAGTTATACAAACTAAAACTGGATATGACTTCAGTAGACAAATGCATGTCAAAAGTCATAAATGTACTGTGGGCCACTTTACAACACTTGGAGAAGGAAAAGATAATTTCTAGTATCACTGAATTTCAGGCTTGACTTAAAACTTGCACTGGAATTCTACATGTACTTTCAAGACGTTAATCTCCCAAGTTTTTCCTGACCATTCCAGCTCTAACAGTGGTTGTGGTTTTGCTACTTATTTTTTAAAGATACAAATTCAGTACTTTTCCCCTTTTTGTTATCTTTGTTAACTTCCTGTGACCAGAGAATTTTAATTAGCTTTCCATTATCAGTGGGCTTTAATTATCAAGTGGTTAAATCCATTTCCCTCTTAATGAATTTTCTGATTATGTTTTATGATACTTTTTCTCTCATTTTTTTACTAGTGGTTGAGGGTTTTTTCCCTTTTTATTTTTCTGCTTCCAATTCATTCATTTTTATGTAACTTAGGTAAGTAGCCACATTAGTAAGCACTAAAGCAATACTTTTTTACTTAGTTGTGCTTCTTATAATAAAAGAAACATATCCTTCTGGATTATTTAAGCTGAATTTGCTGTGACTATATAAACCACAGTTTTATGGACATAACCCAACTTTTCTGAAAGTCTGGGGCATGATTAGCCATGATACTCTTTATTCTAGTCATGTTTATTATGAGGTCTGCAAACATGTAGGCCTTGTTACAGTGCTCATCTGAAAAGCAGGGTATAAGCACTGTATGTTTTTCCATATGTGAAACTGTTGGCTGAAGCAAAAACTAACTAGAATTGGCTTTTAATTTATGCCAGTAATTTGTTATTTATTTCCCAACAAAGCCTCAGTAAAGTGTTGAGCAGGTGACCATATATATCAAATCCATTTTTCTACTTACATCTAATATTGTAACATAGAATCACAGAATCAACTACATTGCATTTTCATGAGCTTCATGGTTTCCTAGACCAGAAAGGACTACTAAGCTGTCCAGTCTGGTATTTTACATGTTGCATACAACTAAATTTCAGACAGTTACTCTTTTAAGGTAAATCCATTGCTTAATCAACCAAGAGTTTATTCTGTAATTCTGATTTGGAAAAATCACAGAATTGCATATTAATTCAGGTTGCAAAGGATGTCTGAAGATCATCTAGTCCACTTCCCTGATGAACATTTGCCCAGCATGGGCTGTCTTCAACTAATTTAACAAGGGGCTGGTGAGGCATTTCTAGGCATGTTATCAACATGTTATAAGACCTTGGGACAGCAGCAGCATGGCTCTGTGGTACTTCACAGGTAGATGGAAATGAGCTAAGAGTGATGAAACTAATTTGGGGTTGTTGTCATGGTTTAAGCCCAGCCAGCAACCCAGAACCATTCAGCCGCTCGCTCACTCCTCCCCCTTCCTACCTGTGCCCCTGGAGGGATGGGGAGGAGAACTGAAAGAATGTGACTCCCACAGGTTGAGATAAGAACCGTTCAGTAACTAAGGTATAACACAAATCACTGCTGCTGCCACCAATAATAATAATGATAACGGAAATAACAAGGGAAGGGAATACAACCACTCACCACCTGCTGACTGATACCCAGCTCTACCCGAGCAGTGATCTAGTCCTTCCAGGTAACTGCCCCCAGTTTATATACAGGGCATGACGTGCTGTGGTATGGAATACCTCTTTGGTCAGTTTGGGTCAGGTGTCCTGTCTCTGCTTCCTCCCGACTTCCTCTGCTCCCTGGCAGAGCATGAATGTCGTGGTTTAAACCCAGTCAGTCAGCTCGTTCACTCCCTCCCCCCCCCCCTTGCCCTCCCCCTACTCCTGGAGGGATGGCGAGGAGAATCGAAAAGAATGCAACTCCCACGGGTTGAGATAAGAACAGTTTAGTAACTAAGGTATAACTCAAATCACTACTGTTACCACCAATAACAACAATGATAAAGGAAATAACAGGGGAAGAGAATACATCTCACCACCAGTCGACTGATAACTCACCCCTCCAGCCCAAGCTCTGACCAATACCTCCTCCAAACCCACAGTCCTCTAGCCCTTCCGGGTAACTCCCAGTTACATCCTGGGCATGACGTGCTGTGGTATGGAATACCTCTTTGGTCAGTTTGGGTCAGGTGTCCTGTCTCTGCTTCCTCCCGGCTTCCCCTCCTCCCTGGCAGAGCATGAGGCTCACAAAGTCCTTGGCCAGATCAAAACATCATTGTTATCAGCTCTGTTACCAGGCCAAAAGTCAAAACACAGCACTGCACCAGCTATCAAGGAGAAAAATGACTGCTACTGCTGAACCCAGGTCAATGAGACTCACAAAGTCCTTGGTCAGAGTAAACATTACTGAGTAACAACTAAGAACATTGGTGTTATCAGTGCTGTTCCAAGGCTGAAAGTCAAAAAACACAGCACTGCACTAGCTACTAAGAAGGAGAAAAAATGAGTGCTGAACCCAGGACAGTTGTTCACTTTTGTAAGATGGAAAAGCTTAATTTCACCTTTTGAGGATTTTCCCCATTCCATAAAAATGAAAGCTTTATTTAATAGTGTTAAACTGGAAGAAAACCTCTCAACTCTTTAGTAGCCCTGTTCAGATTGAGTCAGGGAGTCTTCCACACCTTTTAAAATTCCCTCTAGTATTTGTTGCTCTAACTTATACTTCCTTGATGCTCTTACTTATGAGATATATTTGTGTTTAAAACAACTAGTTCGTTTATCATTTACACTTGAACCTGTAAGGAATTTATACTGGTGTGTCTGGAACACTGTGGAGTTCTGACAAAGTCTGTGACTTCAGATCTGACTTAAGCAGGAGAAAATAAGGTGGGAAGAGAACCCACAGGAAAGCAAGTAAAAATTATCCTTAGTTACGGTGAGGTATGTAGGCAGTTAGTAGATCATGGTTAAACTTTCAGTGTTTAATCCTTTACTTAGAAAGCCTAATCTTGACTGCAGCGTTTTTCTAATTAGAAGCGAATTTCAGATCTTCACTTCCTTAGCAAAAATTCTTAAAATGGTGCAGTCCCTT